CAGTCACTGAAGGTAAGCATGCAGGTGCAGCAGGCGGTAAAGAAGGTAAATGATATGTTGGCCTTCATTGCGAGACGTTTTGAGTACAGGAGCAGGGATGTGTTGTCACAGTTGTACAGGGCTTTGGTGAGGCCACACCTGGAATATTGTGTGTAGGTTTGGTCTCCTTTTCTGAGGAAAGGATGCTGTTGCTCTTGAGGGAGTGCAGCAAAGATTTACCAGGCTGATTCCGGGGATGGCGGGTCTGACGTATGAGGAGAGATTGACTAGGTTGGGATTGTTTTCGCTGGAGTTCAGACGAATGCAGGGAAGATGTTCCCGATGGTGGGTGTGTCCAGAACCAGGGGTAACAGTCCGAGGATTCAGGATAGACCATTTAGGATGGAGATGATGAGACATTTCTTCACCTAAAGAGTGGTGAGTCTGTGGAATTCAGGACCACAGGAAGCAGTTGATGCCAAAACATTGAACATATTCAAGAGGCAACTAGATATAGCAGTTGGGGCGAATGGGATCCAAGGTTATGGGGAGAAAGCAGGATTAGGCGATTGAGTTGGACCATCAGCCATGATTGTGATGAAAGGCAGAGCAGGCCCGAAGGGCCAAATGGCCTCCTCCTGCTCCTACCTTCTATGTTTCTGTGTTTCTATGTCATTTTTTGCCTTAAAAAGGAAAGATCTCCTGTCAGCTGATGCCAGTTTCTTTCTAAGCACAAAATCAATGATACTCTGTCACTGTTTAAATACTAACGGTAAATCAAGGAGAGGCTCGAGTAATCAAAGGCTATTTCAAAGGCTGTTTGGGTGAAAAGAACACAGTCTTTCAGGAACAATATTTGGAAACATGTATTTTGCTTAGTTTCTAGTCTGAGGCATCAAGCAGTGTTGATAATGTTTTCTTGCATGAAGCAAAGAAATATTAAAAGAGAGAGAAACACTGCTGTGATTCTTCTGTCCCAGGGATTTATGCCTTCCTTGTGTTTTGAAGGAAGATGTCAAGGGGTCTACCAAAAATAAACAGAGAATGTGCACAAAGCAGGCTTTGCACAATCAACATGCAGCTCTCTATCCAATTGATGTTTAAACCTGCAACTGAGCAGGACCAATTTAGCCTGCATCTGAGCTCCATTGTCACACAGGCACAGAATGGTATGCATGAGGGCTCCTGTGGCACAGTGGTGGCATCCCTACCTCTAGGCCAGAAGGAACAGATTCAAGTCCCAGCTGCTCCAGAGGTGTGTAACAACAGACTGAACAGGTTGATTGCAACTATCAGAATGGCGTATAGTTGTAGCGTGTAATTACAGCTACCATGTAAATATCAAACGGGCATGCATTCCCTTCATCCAAGCCTCAAGCCAACAACAGGTATAATGTGTGTTGCTCACCTTGATTGTTTTGAGTTAAACTTGAACAACATTTTATTATTTCTTTTACTTTATGGTATTATTTTATTTTGATTTGTATAAAGACTCTATGAACATGCTGCTTTCCCCTAATTTTACTTCCTTCAAATTGCTTCCATAATATCTCTACTAACACTATTGTTGCTGGACTTGTGGATGGTGTTGCTCTAATAATGGAAAGGGTAAGGTGAAATGTAACAATGTTGTTCAAACACGGAAGCAGAAGCCAAAACACTTTTGAAAGGGAAGTGGTGAAATATTTGGAGAAAGGTTAGCATAAGGAGATTAAGCAGCTCCTTCTTTGAGAGTTGGCACAGCCATGTTGGTTGAGCTAGTTTCTCTCATCCTAATAATATTCTATTAATGTTGGCAGTGCCGCCTGTATTGAGGTAGCAGGAGGGGAGACCAGATTGTGTAGAATGTGGATTATCACCTTTTCAATCTGAGGACCCGTCCTGCTGTATTATAAAAATGTCACTGCTGCAGATCCCATGAAAGAATGTAATACAATTGCTTACTCATTATTCTTGGCTTCCAGGATCTGGTGAATACAAAATTCCAAGATGAAAAATTACACTATAATTCAGAATATAGCAGCAATCCTGAATATCATGCTTGCAGAATTGATTACTTTTGTGTGATGTCCATTGCCCAAAACTATCAGCAATTTTCCATAACTAGCATTTGCCTTCAGTCGACCCTAAATGTTAACTTTTATTTCTCTCGACAGATGCTGCCAGACCTGCTGAGCTTTTCCACCAATCTCAGTTTGGAGGGTCTTTGATGTTGGCTGCCATCCCAAGGCAGCAAGAAGTATACATGGAGTCAATTGATGGAAGGTTGGTTTGTGTGGTGGACTGGCCTGTGTTCAAAACTCTGTTGTTTCTTGTGGTCCTGGGCAGAGCAGTTGCTACACCAAGCCGTGAATCATCAGATAGAATGCTTTCTATGGTGCATATATCAAAATTGGTAAGAGTCCTTACGGACATGCCGAATATCCTTAGCCTCCTGTGGAAGTTAAGGCATTGTTGTGCTTTCTTCACTGTGGGTAGACCAGGACAGATTGTTGGTGATCATCACTTTGGGGTCCTGAAGCTACGTCTCAGGTATCTGTTGGGCCAGGGGAGGTTTTTGGGGTCCAGGCTCGATAAACTGTGACAGCAGTGTTAAATGGGCTGGTGAATGGCAGGGCAAGATCCCTCTGACGGTCACTCCCCAATGACTTGGTCGATATACCCCACAAAACAAAAGTTGCCAGGCAGGTGCCTGACATGGGTTTCCTGACACATTAGTGGAAAACTTACACTGTTCAATAAGCCAAAGGGTAAATGACCTGCCTAAAAGGTCCAGCATAAAATGGGAGATAGTCAGGGGTGGGCAAACCAGTGGTGGGCTGGCCACGTGCTGCATTATACAAACTCCAACCCACCACTACCCTCAAACCCACCAGCAGTGGTCTACAAATTTCCACTCAAAATGCTGCTTGCTGGACAGCTTCAAGTATGGCATAATAATTCACCAATAATAACTCAGTCTGCTGCATTCTGCTTTCTTAACCTGTGGGTCCTGTTGATGATGCTGCTACCCGAGATTAAACAGACAGGAGTCCAAGGTTGTGTGCACATCAGTCTCTATCTGGTTCCAAGGGTGTGGATTTGATGAATTCAGTTTAATCTGATTAATAACCATGGACCAAATTGCCACTGGTGGGGTAGAGAACAGCCAGACACAATCAATATAAACTAATCGTCAAAAAATTGAATCCAAGATTCAGAAAAAAATGTCTTGATCCAGACAGTGATGAGAAGTCAAACTCACTAGCAGTTGAAGGGGTACATCTACCGAGATTAGTAAATAGAAGACATAAATGGGTTGATCAGTGGCAAATGGGTTTGTGGGATTTTTGCACAATCATACAGGGATGATGGCAAAGAAAATGTCCAGTTGGCTCAATTAATCTATACTCCAGGCAACCATCTTTTTATTTGTTCTCATCTAACCTTATAGGGTCATAGGAATCTACAGCACAGAAAAGAACTGTTTGGCCCATGAGACTGTATCAATCAAAACAAAAACAACCATCTATTCTCGTCCCATTTTCCAGCACTTGGTCCATCACCCTGTATGCCTTGAATTTGCAAGCGCACACTCAAATACTTGTTAAATGTAATGACGGTTTCTGCCTCTACCACCCCTACAGGCAGTGAGGTCCAGATTCTAACCACCATCTGACTGATAAAATTATTCCTCACATCCCCTCTAAACCACCTGTCCCTTACCTTAAATCTATACCCACCTTGGCACTGATCCCTCCTCAAGGTGATATTGTTAACATTTGTTTCTCTGTCAGTTCCACAGTGTTATTTTTCCTCTTAAACAGCAGGTTACAGGTGAATGGTTGTAAAAGTTCCCTGTCACTAAATAATTCTAACAGCTGGTTGTCAGCAGATATCAGCACACTGCAGGAAGATGTCACAGGACAATCACAGCAGGCTAAGTGTATACCAGCAACATGCCATAAGATCTAATTAGGATAAATTCAAAGACTCCTGCTTTGTTAAAATTTTAAAGTCTCATCTCCCAACTTGACTAATTATAACAATACCCAATGAATTACAAATGCCAGCTTCAGATACAGCTGCCTTTTAATGATGCACTTGCTGTGCCTTCCACCCACCAGTCTTAACTTTTAATTCATTATGTATGCGCCAGAACATTTTGCACCTTGCTGAAACCACAGCGGTTTTGCTGTTCAACTGTGCACTGGGGTTGATCAAGGACGGAATCCAGATGCTTTTCCAACATAGAATGTACTATTGTTTACTGCAATAACTGCCAGGTCAGTGCAAGAGACTAACTACAACTTGTGATCCTAACTCTGCCTTGGAGTTTGACTGACAGCTCAGATCTCTGCTGTGTTTGGCTCAGTTCAGCAAGGCTACTGCCAGAGCATGAATAAAATCAAGGGTGAATGAACAGATTTGTGACTGACAACAGAGTGAAAGGTTATAATGGCCAGGCAGGAAAGTGGGGTTTAGGCCACAATTGGATCAGCCTTGATCTTACTGAATGGCATTGCAGCCTCAAGGGATTGAATGACACACTCCTCCTATTTCTCATTTTCCTATGCGCTCAACTGAGCTCAGCGACCTCAGGCCACGATTCTCACTCCTGCACACTGTCCAGTGACTCTGCGCATACACAGGCATCAGCTGAGAAAAGGAAGAACAGCTTCCTGATATTCACGTTCCAAGATCACCAACAGGACAGCGAAGGTACAGAGGATGTCCCAGGAACTGTGAATCAGTAGCTCAAAATCACAGGGAATCATTCGAACTTATATCTAAACCCATCAGGAAAATGAAGAAGATGCTGAATGACGCAAACTGGTCCAAATCATCTCGTATATTTCAAAATAGAGGTTCAGGATACTCATTTCCAAGCAGTACGTTTTTTTCATTAAACTCAAACAGGAGATCAGAGTAGGAAAGAAAGGTCTTATGTAAATTGACAATGGTGTTCCCGTGGGGCCACTTTGATGATGAACTAATAATTCAGCAGTTCCAGCTCAGAGTTCTGCACTCTGTTTTCTTACCTGGGGGTCCTGTCAGTGTTGCTGTCAGCCTGTGAGGAACTCGGGGTGGGATTTTCAGAGCTGCCCGCACTTGGTAATACCTGAAAGACGGAACAGGATTAAGAAATTAGAGAAGCCCATTGCTTTGACAGCTTATCCTTTCATTTAACAGTGAAAGGCATTCTGGACATTTTAAATTGTCTCATAGGATGTAGGAAGAGATTTAGACCATTTAGCTAATTGAGTCCGCTCCACCATTCAATAAAACTGTGGCTGATCTGATAATCCTCAATTCCACCTTCCTGCCTTTTCCGCATAACCCTCGATTCCCTTCCTGATTAAGTATCTGTCTGCCTAAACGTTGAATGTAGTTAATGACCCAGCCTTGACAGCCCTCTGTGGAGAAGAATTAGTCGAATTCACTACCATACAAGAGAAGAAACTCCCCTTCAGCTTTTTAAAATGGGCGACCCCCTAATCTATGCTACCCTCTGGTCCTTGACTTTACCACTCTAGGGTAAACAACTACAGAGTGATAAATGGCATCACAATGTCAAGAGTATGCATTATTTCACCTTGACTACCCAAATTCATTCCCGTTGCAATAACCTGATAGATATTTATAGCACAAGAGGAGGGCATTTGGCTCATCGTGTCCTCACTGGTCAACAAAAATCAGACTACTCTCATCCAGCTCTTGGACACCAACCCAGGAGGCTATGGAAGTGTAAGTAAATATGTAAATACTGCTTAAACCTATGAGAGTTTTCTGACAAACCTCCCTTTCACGCAAAACAAAACTTTTCACTGTACCTAGGTACATGTGACAATAATAAATCAAATCAAATCCAAAGTGAGTTCTCACCTCCTCTGAGTGAAAATATTTCTCCTCACGTCTCCTCTTAGCCTTCTACATCTTATCTTAAATCCATACCCCTGGTTATTAATTCCTCTACTAATGGAAAAAGTGTCTTCTATTCAGCCTCCCTATGTACTTCATCATTTCACATAGTTCTATCAAGTCCCCTCTCAAACTCTGTTGCTCTCAGAAAAACAACCCCAATCCATCCAATCTTTCCTCAAAGCTCAGACCCTCTAGTCAACAAAGTATCCTGATAAATCTCTTCTGCACCCTCTCTAGTGCAATCAAACCTGACCAATAATCTGGTGAATAGAAGTGAACATAGTACTCCAGTTGCGGCCTGTCCAGTGTTTTATACAGTTCCAGTATAACCTCCCTGCTCTTGTATTCAATGCCTCGGCTAATAAAGACATATGCACCATAAGTCTTCTTAACAACCTGATCCATCTGCCCTGCTATCTTCATGTATTAATGGATGTGCACACCAAGGTCCCTCCAGTCTTTAGTATTTTCCAGAGTCCTATGATTCATAGTGTAATCCCTTGCCATGTGTCAATCCTTCTAAATACTTCATACTTTCCTAGATTAAATTCCATTTGCCATTGCTCTGCTCAGCTGACCAGTCCATTGATAACGTGTTCCAGTTGACAGTAATTCTCCTCACTGTTTACCACCTTACTAATTTTCATCCAAATGTCATCAGTGAACTTTCTGATCATAGCCCCCACAATTAAGCCCAAACCATGAATGTACACCACAAACACAAGGGTCACAGCACTGAGCCCTGTGGAACCTGACTGGAAATTGTGATGATACTACAGTTTTAAGAGTTGTATTGTGTCCTTCTTAGTTTTGAAGAGAGGTTTTAAGGCAGAGGTCTTGGGCTGTCCACTGAAAGCCCATAAAATAAACAGCTGGTGATTCCTTGGTTTCTGTTTAAACTGGGAACAATACAAGCAGCCTGAATGGGTCGGGCAATCTCCTACAGATTTTCAGTTTTAGTTTTTCAGTAGCAACAGTTGTTGCTGGGTCTTGAAGCTGAGTGGGAGTTGCAGTACATCTTTTCCTGCTACTCTCACTCTCTCAGATTTTTATTTTGATGTTTTTCCTCCTGGACTGGAAAAGTGTGTGTGAGACAATCTATTTTCCTGAATTTGCCTGTGTCCAGGATGTGTTTATGGGATGTTACTATATTGGAACAGTTACTGTTTAGTAGTTAAATAATCTATTATTCTGTTAAGTTTTCAAGTGGCATTAAGTTATTCCAGTTTCCTCTTTCTCCTGTTGTCTTTTAACTATAGTGTATGAATAAGGTATGTTTTGCTTCAAATCTGGTAGTTTGACCAATCGAATTACGTCTAGAATGAAACACCTGCCACTTGCCTTTAAAAATAAGAAAGGTTAGGACCCTAGCCAATCTTCTTAATATACTTTGAGGGGGTCTGATCCACAACAAAACAAACTTCTAGTCACAGAAACACTCTACTCTTACTCTCTGCTTCCTTCCTCTCAGCCAAATTTGAATCCAAACTGCCACTTTGTTGGATCCCATGGACTCTTACTTTCATGTGGGGCCTTATCAAGACCCTTACTCAAGTCCATGAAGACTACATTTGTTGTATAACCATTATCAATACTGCTGAAAAAAAATTGATTAAATTTGTCAAACAAGACATTCCCTTAACAAATCCATGCTGACTATCCTTGATTAATTTGTATCTATCCAAGGGAAGATATATTTTGTTCCTCAGAATTCTTTCAAATAACTTGCATATCACCAAGGTTAAACTGACTGACCTGTAATTTCCTGGTCTACTCATTTCTCCTTTTGTTTTAATAATGAGACATTTTGCAATTCAACACAAATCACACCCCCACCACCCCCCAAAAGGGGTCTTCAGCCATGTGTCCTTGAGAAGTTGGCCTGACTTCATGAAAACAGTAGGTGAAGATGGTGTTTGGGCTGAGGACAGGGATAAGAGATTCTCATCTCAACAATCGAAGTATAAGGTGTGGACTCACTCTGTCCACGTTTGCACTGGCAAAAATTCCTGGCTTCAGGAATGAGGAAAGGAATGCCAGATTCAGGTTCCACACATCATTTTTAAACATTTCCAGAGCTGGTCGATCTGCGCAGAAGTCCTGCCCAAAGCGTCCAATCCAACTGACAAAGGAATTCCCACATTAACACTGATGTACAATTGGTTATTGGGTTGTACACACCAAATGTAAAATGCTAAGACTGCTGAGAGGAATGATCTTACGCCTAACAACATTTCAAAGACTATTCCAAACCTTGTAACAGTGTGGTATTAAAAGCAGAATATTCCCTAAATAAAAACCGAAAGAACTGCAGATGCTGTAAATCAGGAACAAAACAAAGTTGCTGGAAAAGCTCAGCAGGTCGAGCAGCATCAGTGAAGGATAAAACAAAAGGTTCCCTTTGGTTCATTTGGGTAACAGTCTGTGTTAATTTGGCCAATATCAGTGGCAACAAATAGGATGCAAGGTCAGCTAGGGGAAGTAATATGTAGATGGCATAGGATCCCTATCTCAATTATACCACATACTTGCTTCCAAAATGTCAATGTGAATGCAAGGTGAGAAGATGCAAACCTCCACTGGAATTCAATCCAGAAGTTGAAATAAAATTGGCTTACTATTACTACTTGGACAATCTTCAGTTTCCAAAGGAAATCTCTGACACAGAATCTCACTTATTTCCCCCAGACCTCAGTTAACGGTATGAACGCTGAATTCACAATCACTTAGACCTTTGTTGACCCTATATATTTTCAACAAATGATCAGCAGGAGTCAATGTGTGTTCTTTTTTCATTTGGAGCCATATTAGAACATAGGAACATAAGAACTAGGAGCAGGAATAGGCCATCCGGCCCCTCAAGCCTGCCCCGCCATTTAATAAGATCATGGCTGATCTTTTTGAGACACAGCTCCACTTACCCGCCCACTCACCATAACCCTTAATTCCTTTACTGTTCAAACATTTATCTAGCCTTGCCTTACACACATTCAGCGAGGTAGCTTCAACCGCTTCACTGGGCAGGGAATTCCACAGATTCACAACCCTTGGGGTGAAGAAGTTCCTCCTGGCCTCAGTCCTACATCTGCTTCCCTTTATTTTGAGGCAATGCCCTCTAGTCCTAGTTTCACCTGCTAGCGGAAACAACCTCCCTGCCTCCACCTTATCCATTCACTTCATAACCTTATATGTTTCGATAAGATCTCCCCTCATTCTTCTGAATTCCAAGGAGTATAATCCCAGTCTACTCAGTCTCTCCTCATAATCCAACCCTCTCAACTCTGGAATCAACTGAGTGAATCTCCTCTGCACCCCCTCCAGTGCTAGTATATCTCTTCTCGAGTAAGGATTACTGCACACAGTAATCCAGGTGTGGCTTCACCAGGACCCTATACAGCTGCAGCATAGCCTCCCTGTTTTTAAACTCCATCCCTCTAGCAATGGCAGACAAAATTCCATTTGCCTTTTTAATTACCTGCTGCACCTGCAATCCTACTTTTACCGATTCATGCACAAGGACACCCAAGTCCCTCTGCACAGCAACGTGCTGCAATTTTTTTACCATTTAAAACATAGTCCATTTTGCTGTTCTTCCTACCAAAATAGATGACCTCACACTTATCAACATTGTACTCCATCTGCCAGACCTTTTCCCACTCACTTAGACTATCTATATCCCTCTGCAGACTTTCAGTGTCTTCTGCACACTTTGCTCTACCACTCACCTTAGTGTCATCTGCAAATTTTGACACATGACACTTAGTCCCCAACTCCAAATCATCTATGTAAATTGTAAACAATTGTGGTCCCAACACTGATCCCTGAGGCACACCACTAGCCACTGACCGCCAACCAGAAAAACACCCATTTACCCCTACTCTTTGCTTTCTACTGGTCAATCAATCCTCTATCCATGCCAATACATTACCTGTAATACTGTGCAACTTTATCTTATGTAGCAGCCTTTGATGTGGCACCTTGTCAAATGCCTTCTGGAAATCCAGGCACACCATATCCACAGGTTCCCCATTGTCCACCATGCAAGTAATGTCCTCAAAGAATTCCACCAAATTAGTTAAACATGACCTACCCTTCATGAACCCATGCTGGGTGTTCCCAATGGGACAATTTATATCCAGATGTCTTGCTATTTCTTCCTTAATGATAGATTCAAGCATTTTCCCCACTACCGAAGTT